GCCACCTAACGCGAGCTGGCGAGTTGGAGCGAAGGCGGAGCGATCCCTACACTCGGCACACGGGCCGAACTCACGCAACGGATGAATCGGGATTTCTCGGAACTGAGGAGCGGCCGGGGATTCGGACTCGGGACTGAGGGGGTTCCAAACCATTTGAGAATAAGTCTCGACCCACCTCGGCCAATCACCGTCTCGCCTAGTCATGTTATATTGTGTGCATGTGTATTGATTACTAACTTTATCGAAAATGCTTTATCGCCCGACTGTGGATTGCCCCAAAAGGAGCTAATCCGATCACAAGCGTTGTCCCCTCATTGATGCTGCCCAAATGAGGAAATCAGATAGCTTTCTTGAATGATTGATTGGCCGCTTTTGCCTTCGTTTCCATCGATTGGAAATCGTGATGTTCCATTCCATCTCTAAGAATACAACGGTCCATTGCCCGTTAAGACAACAAAGGATTCAAATCAGAAACCTTCTTTAATCGAATCATTGCTAAATTTACTGATTATGAGTTAATCAATTCTATCTATGATTAGTTCGAGTGTCTAATTTGCAATAACTTTATCATGTTTGTGTACAACCATGTCGGGAAAAACTAAATTTAATCACCCCACCATACCTAATCTCACGATCTGACTCGGTTAGCGATCCATTTTGATTCGCAATTTTGCTCATTTTACGACCATTTATAGCTTTGGTCATTGGAATATTATATTCATCGAGATAGACTAGTGGAATGTTATTTTGTTTTTGAGACGAGAGAATTCATGTCGTTAAAAAAGTTTAAGCATATCATTCGTTCGACCCAAAATTTTCCGTTCATATGATACTTTTGTACCTGAATTATTCAGAAAGTTTAAACTATTAAAGACACGTTAAATATAGCAACATAACCTACCATGGATTGAAGATGTAGAAGTAAACAACTCACCGTACCATGCATGCATGCCGGCTGTTTATGCCAAAAGGAGCTAATCCGATCGCAAGCATTGTCCCCTCCTTGATGTTCAAATTCCATCTCTAACAAAATCACGGTTCACTTGTCAGTTAGGGCAAAAACAATTAGATGAAAAACCTAACCATTCTATATTCCGATTCCATCATATGTATAATCAAATCAATGCAAAAGTTTTGCCGATTCGACGTGAGTCAATCGATCCTATCTACTGTTATCGAATTACTCGTTCCATTGATTATTGCATTTTATTCATCACGGCAGACTAGATGATCATTTGAAACGCGCGAATTCTTTGCATAGTTTACTCCAAGTGATCAAATGGGAACGTGATATTCTAGGTGCATTGCATGCATGCAACGACTAGCCGAGTAAGACTTGCACAAAAATCACGAGAGCACCGCGAGATTAGTGTTCTCTAAATTGACCACTTAGAGTCGTACGAACTCTAAATGTAGAACCCCCCCCCTCCGGAGACAAGATCTGAATGTGCCTTACACGGCCGTGCGACCGGTCGGTAATGATTTGGTTAAGGATTAACGTTAAGAAAATAATCACATTTTGGTCTTGGTTAGCACATAGGTCGAAGCAACATGGGGATTTGCGATGAAGGTATAGATGGAAGAGGACGTAGTGGCAAAACTATCATAGGAGGTTAAAGATTAGGAAAATTTAGAAGAAGATTACCCTTTGTTGCTAACTTCTCACAAAAGCTTAATTTCTTATTTGTCCAGCACTAATCTCGAGATTAATCGTCCTAATCTCTCCTCAAACGAAATCTATACGGCAATAGTAGCATCGATCTTATTAAGCATGAAGATTTGCATGGTCTCTTCTAAATGAAAAAAAGCTACGTTTGCTCTTAAGTTCAACCTCAATATGAACATAGATTTTACTTGACAGGATAATTGGTGGGATTTCTAGAGAAATATTATCAGCAAATCATGCTTGCTTTTGGTGCTTTGGAGAAGCAAATCTTAATCGAATCCTATTCTTTAAGCAATCGATAGAAAGATGGTGTTGCTTTTGGTTATCATTCGTAAGGGCTAATCCCAAAGCTCTATTGACATCCTCGATTTGAATGCATCAGGATCTGTGTTCAAATCACATCATCTCCCACTCAGAGTAAACCTTGAAAACAGTGTGGACATGCGCCGCGTGATCGATATCGGTCTTATCTGGTACAAGTGGACGGGGTGGGATTGGTCCATCCGTGAAAAGGTGCAGATACAGAATGGTAATGATCATGAATTGAGATGTAGGCCAACTCTACATAGTCGAGATCGAGAGAGAGAGGATACAAAAGGTGCGTTTGTCAAGGTTCACTTTGTTGCAAATTGTGATGTAGTCGTGGGCAAGTTTAATTGCGGGGGCCCTTTGCTTTCATGATTCGTCCTATCGTCCGAAAGAAGAAAAGACAATTGAAGATGGCGACACCGGCGCAATACGCCATTGGAATGGGGCTATCAAAGGAGTATTTCGCAAAACATTGACTCTTCACTTTGAGTGACGGATGAAAAGAGAAGGCATGGGAAACTCCATTTCGCTAGAGTTGATCAATGGGCGGAATCGGATCGGGTCGAGCTGAGTCTTTGAGTCAAGACTAATTTGTTATACAACCTTGGCCATTACCAAAATAAATGAATGAATAAATAAAAGTTAGGGATGACATTTTCGGCCCTAGCCCGATAAAAATTGAGCCCGATTTTGTAACTACATAACCTTGCCGAGCCCATCCACACTCCGGGCTTATGTGGACCGGGTGGAGCTGGACGGGTTTGTTGGCCGTCATGGTCTTGATAAGATCTACCTCATGCCATTCCCAAATAAAAACTAGGAAATATGTTGTAAATAGGATGCTACTAATAAGGGTCCCTTGGTCACTTCTTAAAGCATACTGATTTAAGAAATAATAAAGCGGTCATTACATATAAGATGAGAGAGTCGGTGCATTGAAAATGAATGAAAAATTAATGTGGAGAGAGATAAAAGTTTAAACATACAAATTAATTAAGGAAAAATTGTAAACGAGTATAAGATATCAGGGAGGTAGATTCAATTTTGAAAAGTGAGGTATTCATGACATTTATTGACAACAATTCAATTAATTTTTGTGGACGATTAATTGTTTCACGGATTTTCATTATCGACAACAATTCAATTATAATAACTTTTTGTAGACGATTAACATTTTTTTGTTCATTAATTTTTATAGACAATATTAGCGGTCATTTTTAAATATATATATAATTATTGACTAATTATTTCAAGAAATATAAGCGATTATCCGTTAAAAAATATTTTTTCCATATTATACATTTTTCGCGAAACAAACTGTGCTTTAGCTAGAATATAAATTTTACTTGAAAGGATAATTGGTGGGATTTTTAGAAAAAATTCCATCTGCATTGCACACCTACCATTCTATTCTTTAAGTGATCGATAGAAAGATGATCTTGCTTTGTTTATTAATTGTAAGGACTAATCCCAAAACTTGGTTGAAAGATTAAACCCTTGATTTAAATGTAACATGATTTATGTTTAGACCACGGCATCTCCCACCCAAAGTAACCTCGAAGGCAGCGCGGACATGCGCTTCGTGATCGAGAGCGGTCTTATTTGGTACATTTGGGTGTGGCGGAATTGGTCCATCCACGAGACGTAATCAGATCAAAAAGGCACGCATACGGAATAGTGATGATCATGAATTATATAGAGGCACTGAAAATGTGATCGAGAAAGGGGTTGAGAAGGGAGAGGGTACCACGCAGGTCTCTTTGTGATTATGCCAACGTGAGACCTCGCGTCAATGGAAAGGGCCATTCTAGATCTCAAAGAGCGTCGTCAAAATTCACTTTGAGTGAGAAATGAAAAGAAAAGGCAGGGGAAACTCTACTTCGCTAGGGCTGATGAATCGACGGAATCGGATCGGGTCGAGTCTTTGGATCAAGACTAATTTGTTATACGGCCTTAGCCATTACCATTAAATAAAATGAAATTCGGGTCGAGACTAATTTGTTATACGGCCTTGGCCATTACCATTAAATAAAATGAAATTCAAGGATGATAATTTCGGCCCAAGCCCAATCAGGTTGAGCCGGATTTTGTAACCACATAACCTTGCCAAGCCCGTCCAAAAAGTACACTTCGGGCTTATGTGTACCGAATAGAACTGGATGGGCTTGTTGGCTACCATGCTCATGATCAAATCTACCTATTGCCATTCCCAAATCAAAAGCTAGAAAATTCGTTGTACAAAGGGTCCTATTAACAAGTGCCCCCCTCGATCACTTCTTAAAGCATACCGAATAAGGAATAATAAAATAGTCATTACAAATAAGATGAGAAAGCCGGTGCATTGAAAACGAACAACAAACCCATGCCGAGAGAGATCAAAGTTTAAAGGTGCAAATTAATTTAGGAAAAATTGTTAGCGAGTACGACATACGAGGGAGGTAGATTCAATCTCGAAAAGTGAGGTATTCGCGAAATCAATCGACCAATCCTCTTGACTATTTAAATTCACGACTCTATCCATTCTGTCGTATCCTATTTCTCTAACACATCTCAACAAAAAGCACGAGCATTCCATGTAACTTTTCTAACCAAATTGTGATATTGAAATTCTCTTAGAATCCCCTTTTTCATACATAAAACATGCTCCAAACAAAAGAAAGAAAGAAAGGGGAAGGAAAAGCAATGGAGTTAACAAGCTCTAGAGCCTGTGAGAACAAGATGAGGACCATAAGGCCTTAAAAGCTACAGAAGCTGGTAAAGTACCTGTAAAGCCCAACCCAAAATCAACGGTTCGTGCTTAATGATCACATATGACATATGAGATTGAGAAAACATATAGTAAATGTACTTAATGATTTTCTCGTTCGATAAGCAAAGGATAATTATTTAGACAAGCATCATAATTCTAACACGATATTATTATCTTGATAAGATGCGGGCGAAGTTTAACCGGCGGTTCAACAAGATCGACTCCGTTTCATTACGCACGGAGAATGAATCCGCATTGTGCACGTGGTAGAAAATATTAGGTGAAAATTCGTTCGCTTTAATTTCACTTAATACAAATCCAATGACATGACAACAAAATATTTTTGCCACGTCTGCCATTTCTCTCACGCCCAAATCATGCCCAGCTATTTCACAATTCTTGCTATTACAATCCCCTTAATCTAATTCAAAACCAAAATTCAAGAAAGGCACGCTATCTTCTTGGCTACCCTCTCTTACTTTATAAGGAGTAACTCCACAAGCGCATTTCCGCAGGATCGTTTTCCACATCTTCCCAGTTCGGGTGAAACCTCTCCGGGGCGGGCGGCGGCGGCGGCGATAGCAGCGGCCCTTCCATCCACCGTTCCGAATAGTCGAAATCCGAGCCAACCACTGCCTCCTCGTCCATACAAAAGGGGTTCTCTGGCGAGCTCAAGCTGTTCATGACCGTGTCGCCGCCGCCGTCTTCTGCAGCATCCTTCGCGTCGCCGCCGGCCGCCCCCTCGGCCTCCTCCGCTGCCTCCCCGCCGCCGCCGCCGCCGCCGAACGCCCTCGCCGCCTCCGCCGCCGCACTCTGTATCTCCGCCGCGTCCCTCGAGTCCGGCACTCGGAGCCGCCACGCCGAGTCGGCGAAGTTGAGGCACGCGCCCCGCCCTCGGAGCGCCAGCGCGGCCACGTCGTGGGCCCGCGCGGCCATCTCCGGGGTCGGGTACGTCCCGAGCCATATCCTGGACTTCTTGTTCGGCTCCCGGAGCTCGCACACCCACTTGCCGTTGTTCCGGCGGCGGACCCCGCGGTACACGGGGTGGCGGGTCTCCTTGAACACCACCCGCCCGGCCCGCTTCTTCGGGTGGCTGGACGCGAGCACGACCTCCTCGTCCGAGTGGGAGCGCCGGGACGAGCCGGAGAAGGCGGGGGACGGATCGGCGGCGGCGGGATCCAAGAACGGCCCCAGCACGTCCATCGGAAGGGATGGATGATCAGAGAACGAAGGAGAGGTGAGACGAGCTTTGAACAGTTCAGAGCTTTGGGTTTTGGTTTCTTTTGGTCGGCGTCGATGATGTTGAGCAGCCAAGAGGGGGAGGGAAACGAGAGCGCATTTATAGGTTTGCGTGGCGCGAGGATTCGACACGTGTGGACGAACCTGCCGCACACGTACGCGGAGCGGGGGAGCGGGGATTTAAGCAATGCCAGGCTGGAGCCCACGGTTCTTCCAGCGGATAAACTACGACATCACTTTTGTTTAGTTAAAGCACCAGGCGCTTAAGTCGGGGAGGAGCGAAACGGGGAAAAAAAAATATCAAAAAAAATATCAGAGGTGTTTTACCACGTGCGCGGGTGCCGGGGGTGGACGACGACGTGGCGGGGGACAACACGTGTGGGTTCCGCAGAGGTTTGCGCGTGTGCCGCTGGCCAGCTGGGATCCTCCTCATGGGGTAGGGGGGCTGCCGCTGCTCTCCTGCTGAGAGGGGTTTTGGTCGTACGCTGAGAAAGACAGCAGAATATCTAATTGATGTTTTCCTGTCCGAACATCACGTGGTTATTTTGGTTTTTTTTTTTTGTTTTTGGGATCGAATTCTTCTTTTTTTTTATTTATTTACCGAGTGTTTCTGAAATTTAACTGTTTTTGAGGATTGGAACATTTGTGAGCCGTGCTTTACTTTTTCTAATGACTTCAATGAATAAATTTTGTTGTGATTACTGAATTCTAGCGAAATCCGCGATCATATTATTACACCTCGATTTCAATTGCACAATGCGCTGAAATTAAGGTTAGATGTATATATATATCTCTAAATCAGTCGACAAAATTGGTTTGGTAATTAATGTGACGGACCACAGCTATAACTTCGAACAAACGGCGATTTCCAACATTCAAACAGGACTCGCTCGTTCCATTCAACAAATCGGTCTCGAAAAGCCAACATCGTTCATATGCAAAACCTGTACTCTCCTCACCGTTTCATGACCGATGCATTCGACCGTCATCTAGACGTGGCGTCTGGAAAATCGGTTGCGTTATCGATTTGGAAAAATCGACCGGACAGGTAAAAAATATATCTCGGTTGCTAGTTAGATTCTCTCACCCCGCGATAACCGAATCACATTTTCTTGGGGTAAAAAAAGAAAACTACCATCCTCTTTCCCGCACTCAAATGTTTCTTTTTCTTCGGATGCAAGCAATAAGAATAATCTCGGCCGTGCAATTTAATTGGGTGGGCCCCACGTGCGTCGTGCATGCATCTGACCGTGTTAACTAAACCGTCGGATCCACCGTGGGCCCCAGTGCGTAGTACGAGAATTCGGTTGGGCCAGGCCTGGCCAGGCCAAGGGGGGTAGGGAAGGGAAGGAGTGACGTCAGCTCCCGTACCGTCGTACGTAATACGTATTGTCTCTGTCTTATAAGCCCAGGCACACTCGGTCAACCGGGTTGCTTACGAGCGTTGACTGCGCGTGCGCCATGAACTCCGTAAGGGAGTAACCGCCGAGGGAGTCGTCTTACCCGTGGCGGCCCTTGAACGAGGCTATCATCGATCTGGGCCTGCTAAACGGAACACACGGTTTTGAAGTCTCACGTTTTGCCCGTTTCGGGTTCCCACGACCGACCCCGCAGAAACGTTGCCAATAAAGTCATTTTCTGAAATTCTTTACATGAAAATGACGAACCCCACTTCTGAAAAGAAGTGTCGAGTACAGACCTAGGTCACGAGTTCGACAGCCGGGGACCCGCGATGAAGTGCCTAGTTCTGGGCCTAGCCTTGGGGTACTAGGGGCTAGGGCACCGGGGGCCCTGGACCCGGTCACGGGGGACCCGAGCTCGGACGTTGGGGACTCGGGCCCATGCGCGAGGGACTCCAGCACTGCTGCCGAAGACACGAACACGAGCGTTGAGATCTTCGGATCGGCCTCGAGGGACCCAAGCCCGACTGGCTTGGGTCCCGAGCCTAGGTGCCGAAAAAGACCCCGGCTCGAGCGTCGGGGACTACGCCCTAGACTGGGAAGACTCGAGTCCAATCATGGGGGCCAGGGTTTCTCGGGCCCAATTGCTGGGACCCTAGGCATGGGCGCTGAGGACTAGGGCTCGGCCTCCATGGACTCACGATTGAGCATCGGTGACTGGGATGGGGGAGCTGGGTGCCCAAGTAGGGCAACATGGAACTTGAGCATGGGCATTGGCGTCCCGGACCGAACCTCGAGAGACCCACACCTAGCTTCTGTGGAGTCAAGCCTGACCGCTAAGGACCAGTCATAGTCATCGGGGTCTTTGTGCCCAAGTGCCGAGGTCTCAAGCCGAAGCATTGGGGTCTAATTGTATATGGGAAGATTTTGGATTTTCAACTTTTGAGGGAGACAAGTTTGTTTAAGAAAGGTTTAGAGGTTGCTTTTAGCGAAAAATTTTTACATTTAGATTATGTTCGTTTAACGGAAAATGAACTTTATTGGAAACTATTTTCGAAGGAGCTTATTGTCAAGGAATATGATTGGCCTATGTTTGGCTGCACTTTGCAATTAATATGTAAGTCATTTTGCTACATGAAAATTATGAACCGCATTTACGAAATAGTCTCAAGTAGATCCTACGTCACCAGTTCAACAACCGGGGACCCGAGCTCAAGTGCTTAGGTTTGGGCTCGGCCTTGGTACTAGGATAATAAGGCATCGGGGTCCCAGACCCAGGCACGAGGGACCTAAGCTCGAACGTCGGTGTCTCGGACCTATGCTCAAGGAACTTGGCATTATTGTCGACAACTCGAACATGAGCGTTGAGGTCTTGGGCCCACTCTCGAGAGACCCAGGCCCTACTGCCTTGGGTGCAAGCTCGAGTGTCGAGAACCACGGCTCGGGCATCAAGGACTACACTGGGGTTTGGGAGGACTCGGGCCCAACCACCTTGGTTCTCGAGCCTGGTGTTGAGAACCCAGGCTCGAGCTTTGGGGACTACACCCCAACCTGGGAGGACCTGGGCTAGAGCGTGGGAGCGAGCGTTTCTTAGGCCATTGTTGGGAACCCGAGCATGGTCGTTGGGGTCCCAGACTCAACCTTGGTGGACTCGCGTTCGAGCATCGATGACTTGGACGCAGGAGTTGGGTGCCTAAGCAGCGCCACTTGGAACTTGGGCATGGGCATTGGCGTCCCGAACCCAATCTCAAGAGATATGAGCCTAGCTTGTATGGACTCAGGCTAGATTGCCAAGGACCAATCATAGGCATCGGGGTCCCTGTGCCCAAGTGCTGCCCAAGTGCTGAGGTATCAAGTTCAAGCATTGTGGCCTAATTGTATTTGAGAAAATGATTTCTGCTTTTGAAAGAATTTATTTTTTGAATTTAGACATAGGTATTTCGTTAGTTATGAAACAATTTTCGATTGACTCATTTTCCAAAGTGATATAAAAACACCGGAAAATGAGGAAAAGGTTTTCCGATGGCATATATTTTATGAAACAAACGGACCCTTACATATTTCCTTTGTTTTATTTTTTCCAGAACCATGTGGAATACATGTAAATCCTATTTAAGATTTTCCGAATCTATAATATATTTACGTCTTCATTAGTATAGTCCTTAGGGTTTTAAAATGACAAGTTTTGGTCAAAATAGTTAGTAGCACATTTTAAGTTGCACGTAGCCATGATAATTTGGTTCAAGACGCATAAAAAAGGACGACCAAAGCAACTATGTATGTTATGGGCGGCACAATACGGATCCAACGTCCTTTTCCTCAAATTATTAAGCAAATTCTACAATGACACGTTAAACATTAGTGCACATATTTTGTAATTTTTTGTTTCTTTTGCCTCATTCGAAGATACTCAAAGATGTTAGCGCAACTAGATACAAACAATACCCTGCTCGAACTATCAGTTCTAACTTCAAGAATTAGATAGAGTCCGACACAAAACACTCCATTGCATGCTATAAAGCATTCAAAGCAATGTATAATTCCAAAGATATAATAATGGTAATTTCAGATGACTTTAGCAATGCAATCGACCATTGTTACGACAATAATAGTGAATTCAATTAGGATAATAATTACTCTCATCCTTGTCGAATTGAGCTCAATGGGGAAAAGTTCCATACGCAAGATTGCACCATCATGCTCCTCCTTTTAAAAGATTCCCGATCTTTTGACTGAAGGTGGGGAAAATAAAGGAAGATTGCTTTCTCTAAGTTCAGAACGATACTGCATGAGCCTCAATGATAATGGATTCAAATTGGTCTTGGCGCTCAATTGACCTTGGTAAGAGTGACTAAAAATTAGTCAAATCTTGCTGATCAGTCAATCTTACTCGGGGCTAATGCAGATGGGACTTACATATTGACATGATCAGATTCGGAAACTTCTTGATATTGGCTAAATCGAGTAAGCTTTTTACATCGTTCCCACAAAAAAGCGTACGGACATAAATTTGCTTTCTTTCGAAATGTACTTTTAAGCTATGATAATGCCCTCTCCCTCTCCCTCCCTCCTTTTGCCCTAAATAATCGTCTTTTTGTTTCTCGTAATTGGGGTAGTCCACGACACTTATGCACATGAATGAATAATGTGAGCCATTTGACTAGGGAGCAAATAGAATTGAGATTGGTTGCTTTCTTTCTTTTTCCTTCAACTTGGAATTTCTCAAAAGTGCAGGACAATTTTCTGTATCACCATCATAACCACATACGCATCAATATCATGGCCAATAGAGTGTACATAACTTTAGAATGTAGCCCACTTATTGTGTTGAATTTAGGCACTTAGGCTTTGTTCATTTTCCGCGAAATAAATGAAACCTTAATGTATTGGATTTAGACAGTTAAGGGTAGGGTAATGGCTTGCGCTACTCAGATTGGTCCAAGCTAGACATAAAGCTGTGAAAATAACTTATCTTATGAAACAAAGTTATATTAAAGATATTGACGCTTTAAAAGCGAGCAGCATGTTAGGAGTGTCGCAACGGAAACTCGATATCTTCACCCGAGAGAGATTATCAAGAGGAAGCCAAAGTCCGAACCGGTCAACATATCCAGTTGGACCCACCTTGACTTAAA